CCGCGCATACTAATCTTGTCTGCGCCTTCCCATTACTAAAAGGAGAAAGAATGTCCCCATTGTGTGAGTAATGGGAGGCTGCAATGACGGCCGTTTTATGAAGGTGCAGAGGGTGTCGAGCGCATAGGAGTGTTGTCATCGCACACCACCCGCATAGTGAGAGCACACTGTAAAATTGGCTTTACCACTACGGCAAGGGTGTGCAGCCTAGAGGCAGCGGAAGAAGGGCCGGGCCTGGCAACAAACTCTGAGAGAGAGAGAGAGAGAGAGAGAGAGAGAGAGAGAGAGAGAGAGAGAGAGAGAGAGAGAGGCCAGAAGTAGAGAGAGAGAGAGAGAGTCCAGAAGTAGCCAGTTTAGGCCAGTCGAGTCCCGCAAAAGAAGGCCAAAATAAAAGGCCCAAAAAATTGCCAAATGGAAAGCCCGAAAGGGCCTTCCACAAAAACAGCCCCTGGCCCTCCTCTCCATGCCAGAAATGGACAGTCTGCATTTCATCGAGAAGGGTCTTAAGGGCAGCCATTTCGAAGATGGTTTGCAATAAATAAATAAATTAATTAAAAAGGAGGAAAGCAGGGTAGCCAGTGCACATTGTCTGCCGCAGGAAAATGTCCTAGGCACAGAAATCACCACCGCAAAGCCCTGCCATACCACAGACTGACATAGGTGAGCTCACAGTGAGGGGATGCAGAGAGCACGTGCATGCGAATGCACATGCCGTCATGCTCATGCTCATGTGTGTGTGTGTGTGTGTGTGTGTGTGTGTGTGTGTGTGTGTGTGTGTGTGTGTGTGTGTGTGTGTGTGTGTGTGTGTGTGTGTGTGAGAGAGAGAGAGAGAGAGAGAGAGAGACCCAGAGTGATGCAGGGAGTGCATGACGCTACAGACTCGACAGAGTGTTTGTGAAGGGTGAACAAGAATCTAGACAAGAAACATGGAAAGGGGAGTCAGTGACTATGCGTCGACATTACATCTGACTGAATCTTTACTACTCCTGTGACCAGGTGAGTTAGATGCATAATGCCGCTATTTGGACATCTGGTGAACCGAAATGGGAAGGCCCTGCCAGGTTCCCGCCGAAAACAAGACCGTATTGGTTTCTTTTTTTGATCATTTCAGGTGAGCGCGCCTAGGTTAGAGAAACTGCGAACCGATTTAGAATTCCGTAGAAAAGCTTCTCGGATGGACCGATAGATTGGAATCGGGCGTGTAGTCGTCCAAACGTACATTTTAGATTTAAATTTTGTAGAAGCTTCTTGGAACCGTAGATTAGAATCGGACACCTTGTGGATCGATATGGACAGGAGGTATTCGAGAAACTTGGACGGACCCACTATGCCCTACGTCAAAGGACCGAACGATTTAGACTGATGAGCACATAAATCGGTGGGCCCCACAGAAACTCGTGCGTCACTCACGTGTGTGCTGCGCACATCCACCTAGGTATGGCTACCCACGTGCATGCACTCCCGCGTGTGCTGCGTGCTTCCATCAACGTGCATTCACTTCCCCCGAGCATCGACCCACTGGCCTTCTGCGTTCACGTGCCTTGTGCCTTGTCCGTTCACGTGCCTTGTGCCTTGTCCGTTCACGTGCCTTGTGCGTTCACAACTTCACGTGCCTGGGTCTCTGGTCTTGCATGAGTGTGATCTTCTGTGCAAACGGCTATGTCTGCTAGAGGCAAGCGAGGCAGGTACAACCGCATTGACGATGTTCAGAGGCGAAAGATCATCGACTCTATCTTCCTTGAGCGCAAAACGATTGCAGAGACTACAGTACGCTATGGGTTTCCACACGCTATTGTGCACAACCTTGTTATCGCGTTCAACGCTGATGGCACAGAGACAACCAAGAGGAGAGATGACACGAAACTTCGGCGAAGCTAATCGAGGCGAAGTTCTCGGTAGACAGTTTACGGGAGCAGCAGGCCCGTCCTGTGATTCAGACGCTTGCGACTAACGTGCGAAATCACTTCACTAATTCGATATCTCTGTTGGTCCTGAGTCCTGACAGTCTGTGCAGAATATCAAATCGATTGACTGTTGGACTAAATGTGATTTTGGCAATACTAACAATTTGTTAAATCATTCAGCCTAGATCTATCAAGGCTTAGCGTCCAAACTGTTAAATCCGCTTTTGTCCAGAAATGTTCATTCATTTCTCCCAACCTAAATCTTGTGTGTCCAAAATGCTCATCGCTTCTCCCAGCCTAAATCTGGTATGTCCCAAAATGCTCACCACTTCTCCCAAACTATATCGGCTGTCCAAATCGGTTCTGATAATGTACTAAATAGGAAAATCGAACTGACCAATTCTGTAGTAAATAGGAAAATCGAACTGACCAATTGGGTTTGATGGCTGTCCAATCGAGTTTTCGTTTGTCCAAATCGCTTCACCTTTATTCTAAATTACCGGGTCAAAGGAGTATATGCTTACTCTGGATATATATTGAGCCGCTTCATGAATCTGGAAAGGAAATGGACCAGATACATTTGGAATTTTGGATCGATCCAACATTTTTAGTGCACCGGGACCATCACCAGCGTCAAAAACAATGAGACTGTTATTTTGTGGAGCAAGGCCCATAGTCGTGTGTATCCCCGATTAGGACGGTTGCGATCCGTGGCCCGGCAAAAGAAATGCTTGAGACTTGCCTCTGCCATTTGCTGCCGCTTTCTGACACCAGCCTCTGCTGTCAGCTCAGCTCAGCTCAGCTCAGTAAGCTGAGCATGTGCAGGTAAGGGCACAAATCTCAATGCCAGAGAAAGAGCAAGGAAATGTGTATGTGTTGTACTGCAATAAACTGGAGAGTCCCAGTGCGACTGTACACTAACTGTGTTTGCTGTTTCCTTTTTTGGGGCCTTGCGGGACTTGATCCCGCGACCTGTAATTTGTACGTGTTTGGTTTGTAAGCTTCGAGCCTTACTGGGCTTGATCATTAGACCTGGAGCTAGTAGTCTCTATTTGGCAGTCTTAGACCCTTAGGCTTTGCTGTTCTGTCGTTTGCTGCCCTTGCTGAAGTCAACCGGGGACTTGATCCCATGACCTGTGGTGTGTTTGTGGTGTTTGACTGTTTTTGAGCTTTATTGGGCTTGAACCTGAAAGCTGTCCCTAGTAGTCTCTATGTGGTAGTCTAAGGTCTTTCAGCCTTGTTGTTTTGTCCTTTTTTCTGCCCTTCTGGAAACTGAAAGGCCCGTAGGGATTTCTTTTGTGTGTCCTAGCCTTGGGTCCCCTTACTCTAGGTTTCCATCTAGATGCATGTAGGTCGCCTTGGGATACATGGGACCTGGCCCTAGGGGCGCCGTCCAACTTAGCAGAAGAGGACTGGACTCAAGCGCATGAATCTGGATGTATTTTGCACGGAGATGCGGAAAAGCCAATCAATCCCGATTTTCTGCACCTCTCCACAAACACGTGCAGATTCGGCCCTTAAATCCAGTCACATTGGGTAGTGGGACCTGGCCCCAGCACATACTTGTTTGCATTACAATGCTCCATAACATCCCCCCCCCACAACCACCACTACCTCCGAGCCTCTTTCTGCCAAGGCAGAAAAGAACTGCGCATCAAGCTTCGCTGAAGCACCAGCACAGCTTTTTTTTCCTCCGCCTGGCGGCACCAGCCATTGTGCTCCGGGGTAGCACTGTTCATTCGGAAAATGTGGAATGTCACGCTTTCGATTCTCAAGTTGCCTGGGATGTGATACGCAACCTCACGCCCCGCGCAGCATCCCGTACCCGTGGGAACGCCGATCAGAGTAATTGGGGCATGGACGAGGATTTTGGCCGGGGGTTGAACCGCCAGGCCGAGATTGGGGTTCTCGCCTCATTCCCGAGGGTCATTGCGGAAACTCTGGCCAACCTGAGTAACTGCAAAATTCCAGAATTTACACAGGGGTGGAAGCGCAGGGCAACGACAAAATTCAGCCCATCGACTCAAGGATACAGACGCAACTCGTTTTAGCGCAGAATATGAACGCAAAGACCCAGGATCTACGGCTTTTTCTTTAGTAGGCTCACGCCGCCCCTCTCGGTCGGGGGCCAAGGAGACAAGGGACGTCCTAAGCATCCGAGTCCGGTCCACAAAGCCCGGGCGATCGGCTCGATCCCTCGTCGTCTAACAGGTGCGTGGGCGGGGGTACCCGGGTCCAAAAGTTTGCTGGAAAAGCACCCGCTCCATGCAAGTTTCTACTCGCCCCACTGCGCCCAATCCCCCTAGAGGAAAGCCAGTCACCTATGGGATTGGCCCCATCAAAAATGCTACCTTTGCAAAATGGCGATGGCGGCGGCAGAGAGATCGGGTGGAGCAACCCACGCACCCGGTGTCCCTGGTGAACGAAGAAGTTGACACTTGGCACTTGCGCAGACAGGGAAGGGGCAGGGAGGAGGCCGGCGGGAATCCCATATGCGCTCTAAGCACGGGGAGCGGCAATTAATTGGGAGGGGAAAGAGGGTATCAGCACGCTCACGGACTCAGGCAGACACTTGTGCGCTCAGCAAGACGAAGACACCACACACCTTCAATATCCATACATCCAACGACTTTCTGACAGCGAAACATTCAGCATCCATAGACGCTCACAACCAAGGCTGGCACTCTGCGTGCACAACCACCAGACCCGACCGAATGCAGACCAGCCATAGCCACAAGGCCCTGCCGCTGGCGGCATTCCCATCTCCACCACCACTCAGTCCCTACTCAGTCCCTACAGCTGCTTTTCCCCGAGTCTACCGCTACTTCCACCCCACGTCATCACTCCACCCGTTCCTTGGGCACGTCGAGCCGGTTTCGCGCCGCAGTCTTCGCGCATAGCTTGCGCAGCATCGCAGCCAAGATCAAGGAAGGGCCTGCGCAAATTTACAGCGAGGAAGGTGGTGGGGCACCAGCATGTACTGCGGCCAGCGAGGGGTGTAGATGAACTGGACAGAGGGAAGAAGGTTCTAGAAGGTTGAATAAGGCGGGACGATCGAAAATTTTGTTCACTTGGGGTGGTCGTTCAAGCGGCGTAGCTCTTGCGGCTTGATCCAACCAACCCAAGTGAAGACCAATCAACCGCGCCGAAGAATCAAGGAAGGGATCAGACAAAGGGTCTAAAGGAAGACGAAGAGGTGCGCGGAGACGAAGGACAGCAAGAAAGGAAATTGGCGTGTGCACGCAAAGTGGGGAGCGAGCTTGTGTGGCAAGCGAGAATTCAAAAGTGGCCACGTGTGCACGGATGCAAAGAGAAATTGAAAAATGCCATCAACCGAAACTCATAACCGTTTCTTTGAAATTCCCGGGTGGTTGCTAATCGGTCGCTTGAGACTAATTTGAACAAGGACAGGTGCAATCTCAAAAGATGCATGCAACTGGCCCACAAAATTCGAAAATGGACTCTGTCTCCTGTTATTAGTCAAGATCCGTACTTCAAGGCTTACTTCGGGTTTTAGTCTGAACGGTACATGAAGTTGCGAGGTATGGAGCTTGGCTGATCACATCTGTGATACCCAGGCGGTTCCAAAAAATTGGCAGTCTCCTGGCTGCCTATCACGTGTCCAGGTTGATGAGATGATCAAGGTGGCCACTTCAGTCGTCAGCTGGCCTTGATCATCAAAGTAATGTACAGACAGTATGGCCCGCACTTTTACGCCTCGTTCTTTTTTCTTTTTTTTTTTACCATAATACAGTCTATCGGGTGGCCACTTCATTGTCAACGAGTGCATCTTCCCCAGAAGTTGGTCAGATGGATCCATTACTATCTCTAATAGTCTTAAAGGAAATAGCGGGTCTCACGTGAACGTCCCACGCAAGAGACCGCTCCCCGTGTTTGGAAAACAAACGTTGGGCCCAGAAGGGCAGGCCCAGGAGCGACGCTCACACAAGACACCACTCCTATGCGATGGGGGGGAAAAAGGGGAAGCTGGTGTGAGGTCCGGAGAGGCCACGAAAGGGGAGGAAACGGAGAAGTGAGCGCCTGTCACTTGGCCGGGCCCAACACGGCACCGCCAAGGCGCGAGGTGATGGGGATGCGCGTTCGGTTAGGAGTGCGGGGCGTCGGTCGCAGGCAAGAGTGCAGGGTACGTGCACACTGTGACGATGATCGTGGAGGGGAGAGGTGGCGACAGGGCGGGTAGGAGCGGAGGCAATACAGGAACCACTTGGCGGGCCTTTTTTCTTTTTTTTGTAGAAGGTGGCCATGGCGGGATCTTTGTCACGTTGTTTGGCGGAGGAGGAGCGGGAGGAGCAGGAGTAGGAGCAGGAGGCGGTACAGGAGGAGGAGGAGGAGTGGGAGGAGGAGCAGATGGATGAAGATGGTGATGACTAGAACCGGCCAAGAAACTCCCATGTCCAGAAGGATGATGGAACGAGAAGATGACAGTGAGAAACAGGAGGAAGACAAGGAGTAACGCCGACATAGCCGACCTTAGAACCATTGAAGTTGCCACCAACATAGCCAACCTTCAATCCGTCATCAAAATGCCAGCAACCTTTCCACCCAAACCCGCAGCATGTGACAAGAAGAACCACCAGATCGGCCAAGACCCTTCCTTTCCCTCTTCTTCCCTGTTTCTTTCTCTTCCTCCTCTGATTATCCAAAAAAAAGAATCAATTTTCTACAAATAGTAAGCACATTCTACAACCACGTCCATCACCTCCTCCGTCCTCCTCCTTGCCCCTCCTCCTCCTACTCCTTGCCACTCCTCCTTCCTCCTCCTTGCCCCTCCTCCTCCCTCCTCCTCCTTGCCCCTCCTGCGCGGGAGATGGCACACGGACCTGCGGCGGGAAGTTATAATCACCTCCCTCTCTCTTTTCGTCACCGTCAGAGAAAGCCAATTGCCCTAACACGATCTCTGCAAAAAAAAAGAACATTTAAAATAAAAAACAAAAGCAAAAAAGAAGCTAAACCTGCCTCCCACCGGCTTTCCATCCGCTCTTCTGCTTTCCCACCTCCTCCTTCTCCTCCTCCTCCTCCCCCTCCCCCCTTGCCCTCTTCTGCACTGTCAATCCACTTTCCTGTCGCCCTCATTCCGTTTGCCCCCCCATCACCTCTTCGGCTCACGTTAACGGTTAACGAACCGCTAACGGACTCTTCCCTTAGCTGACAATTAATTTCTAACTGAAGCAGCCCCGTTGCAGAAAGATTGGATTGGCCCCCTCTCCGCTTAAATCAATCAATCAATCAATTAAACCGATTAGCAAAGCCACCCGCTGATCGATTTGATTGGATGGATGATGGATGGCTCGCTTGGACGTACTGGTGGGTGGACTGATGGACACGTGGACCGATCCATTGATTGATTGCTAATAATCTCCTTCCTGATTATGATTACAATCAGGGTCACCAGCCCGTACGTACAGAGGTCCCCAGGCCGACTTCCGTACGTACGGGCGTTCAGGGTCCTGTTCGGGGTCCGAACCCGAAGGCGTTCGGCCCCCACCAAAAATGATTTCGGGGCCTAAAAATAAGTTTTTTTCCTGAATTTGCTTTTTTTTGTGAGTTCTTTATGATGTGAGGTATATGCCTACAAATTTTGAAGTCATTTTTCTAAGCCAAATAAAAACTAAAAATCGCCAAAGACGGCAGCGTCAAAACATGCTCGCCCACTCACTATTTTGTTTTTGTTTTCACTTTATTGCGGGGCCTGAACAATTTTATTATTTTTTGAAACTTTATTAATGAGTTTTTTATTATTTGAAGTACTCATCTGTAAATTTTCACTGCATTTGGCTGTGCCAAAAAAAAAAAAGAAAAATCGCCAAAGATGGCGGTGTCAATGGGCAGCAAGCTCATGGGCAGCCGGTGCGTTAGCGCTGCGGTAACGCTGTTACCGCAGCGCTAATGCGTTGCCTCAGTGGCGGTGTATGGGCGTTGGGGGATTGCTAACGGGGCCTACGAAATCTGTCTGCTTCGATTGCCAAAACTTGGCACTGGCGTGACCACAGCGGAGCAGGGAAGAACACTGGGGCTTGACAAGGGAGCCGTGACATGCTCCTGGTCATTGCTGGTCTCACCTAACTTTTGTCAGGAATCCTGGTTCGGTGGAGGAACGAGAGCGTGATATGTGGGGGCCATCGGCGGGTGGGAGCTGGACGCTGCACCATACCTGATGAGACCGGTCGGGGGTTATACCCCTCGATCTTTGATATGGAGGTTTTTGCGGGGATCTCCTGCCCTGACACTGTTGTCAGGGGCAGCCCGCGAAGGTGAGTGAGACAGGAGCTACGAAGGATTGCTGCGGGACTTCTCATGTTCGCTGCACAGCGGGGGCACATGGGGATTTTGCTTACGATCTCCAGCAGGAGCGCACATCGACTTCGTGGATTGGGTGTGCTCACCTGTCGTGACCCCTGTTAGGGTCTCAGAGAGAGAAAGAGAGAGAGAGAGAGAGAGAGAGAGAGAGAGAGAGAGAGAGAGAGAGAGAGAGAGAGAGAGAGAGAGAGACATGTAATAGTCTATGTTTCGTATTAGACTAGGGTTGAGGCGATTTGTGTGATCTTTGGTGTTTTCCTTTTTTGCGGTTTGGGTAAAGGTTGCCGTAATTTGTTGCATTCTTGTGTAGCAGTTTGCATGCGATGGAATGAAAGAGAGAGTGCCGCTCTGTAGAAACGCCATTATGGTGGGCGGTGGGGTTTCCTTGTAAGTAGGTGCAGATTAGAGGAAGTGGTTTTCCCTAAATCACGAGGAGGTGGGTGGGTTTGCGGAGTCTTCGACCCCTGCCGCGTGGAAGGTAGGGTATTACCGCTGAGACATTGAATTATGGTTAGGTATTCATTTCATCTCAATAGGCTGGTGTCCTGCTGTCATCTGAATTCTTGAGGCAGAATGGTGAGCATTGATCCACTGGGGCTTCATCATGGAGGGCGGGGAAGCATCCATAGGGTGCGTATGCAGATTGAGGGAGAGGCTTACCCTAAATTGCGAGGAGGTGGGTGGGTTTTGCGGGGCTTTTTGGCACCTGCCGCGCGGGAGGTGGGGTAACCCCCTGGTCAGTGACAACAGCATCGTGGTAGGAGTTGTTGTTTTTGTCATGAAGAGTGTGGGAAGGTGCTATCCGCTTTTAATCGCGAGGAGGTGGGTGGGTATTGCGGGGTCTCTGTCAGCAGTTTGGGGCCTGTGGGCACAGACCCCTGCCGTGCGGGTGGCAGGGCGGATTGGTAGGGGTTGGTAGTAACTTCGGATGAATAGTGGACATGATCAAGTAGCGCTGACCGCTGGTCTTCTTTCTGTGGTTTTGATTTGTTTTCTTCTGTAGTTCTTTTGCATATGGTTTCTTCACGGTTGGTGGAACACGGTTGGTGGAAGACGGTTGATGGAATTTGGGTCACTAAATTAGGGTTGTCACGATTGTTGTGATTAGAGTTTTCTTGGTGATGAACTTAGATTTAACTGATAATTTTCAATTGATTTTTCAATGGTAGGGGCTGGTCTTCTTTCTGTGGTTTTCATTTGTTTTCTGCTGTAGTTCTTTTGTGTATGGTTTCTTCACGGTTGGTGGAACACGGTTGGTGGAATTTGGGTCACTAAATTAGGGTTGTCACGATTGTTGTTTAACTGATAATTTTCAATTGATTTTTCAATGGTAGGGGCTGGTCTTCTTTCTGTGGTTTTGATTTGTTTTCTTCTGTAGTTCTTTTGTGTATGGTTTCTTCACGGTTGGTGGAACACGGTTGGTGGAATTTGGGTCACTAAATTAGGGTTGTCACGATTGTTGTGATTAGAGTTTTCTCCGTGATGAACTTAGATTTAACGGATAATTTTCAATAGATTTTTCAATGGTAGGGGCTGTGGAGTTGGCTGTGGGGTGAAATCTAGTGGTGCCCTCGATGTGCTTGGCCGGTGATGCCTTGCCCGCTGAGGGCCCCACATAATTTTGTAAGGGACTCCGGGCCCGGTTCCCGGCTTTTATAAAGAGTAAAAAAAAAAAAGTAGCAAAAACAAAATAAAAAAACGTGCTCGCTCACTCACTAAGTTTAATTCTCTTTTCATTTTTTCTTATTTTTCTTATTAGTTTTATTTTTTGTATTTTATTTTTATTTCAAATTTGGTAAGGAATTTGGATGTAATGCTCAGGCAAATGTTGTTTATTTTAGTTTCCTTCATAACATTTTTTATTTTTTATTTATTTTGGTTGGTGTTCGGCCCGAACGGCTGAATGCATCCCCAAGAGGTCCGGTGTTTGGGTTCGGGCGTCCCCAACGCCTGTTACCCTGATTACAATAAAACCTGATTACAATAAAATAAATAATTTAGCGATCCCTACTGGTAGCAATCCAGTCGCGGTAGCGGATTCTTTCCACTTGGGTCAGGCCATCGACCCTGAACAGCAGCAACCCCACAGCCTTTCCCCCGCTTCACTGCACTGCCACGTGTCCTTCAATGGCGCGCAGCACATCGAAGTGTTAGACCACGATCAAAGCATTCCCCTGCCTCGAAATCCATCTCCATCTCCCAACCGGCCTCCTCAAGTCGGACAGTATAACCCCCTCCTCTCCTCCCCCCTCTCTCTCTCTCTCTCTCTCTCTCTCTCTCTCTCTCTCTCTCTCTCTCTCTCTCTCTCTCTCTCNTCTCTCTCTCTCTCTCTCTCTCTCTCTCTCTCTCTCTCTCACACACACACACACACACACACACACACACACACACACCCAGTCAATCAATCAATCAATCAATACATTCGATTGAAAATTTGATTCATTTTCTGTTTGGAAAAATCGGGCGGGTATCGGCCAGTTCTCGTGTTTTGTTTTTGTTTTTCAATCAATTGTATCGACTGATTGATTGATTGACTGGGGGGGGGGAAAGGAAAAGGCGGCGGGAGAAGCAGCAGGAGAAGGAGCGGGAGGAGGAGCGTGGGGGAGTCCAGTAGGAGGAGCGGGAGAAGGGGGAGGAGCGGAGGAGGAGCAGGAGGAGGTGCGGGACAAGGAGGGAGACAAGGAGGGGGAGGAGGAGCGGGAGGAGCGGGAGGAGAGCGAGGAGGAGGAGGAGGAGGAGGAGGAGGAGGAGGAGGAGGGGGAGGAGGAGTGGCAGGAGAAGGGGCGGCAGGAAACGGTGAGGGGGAGTTAACGAGCTCGCGGGAGGCGGGTATGAAAAGCAGAAGGAGAAGGGTGGGGAAAGGAAAGCCGGCGGGTCAGCCAGCGAGAAAAAGCGCCGGACGAGGAACGGAAGGAGGAGCGGGAGGAGGAGGAGGACCGGAGGAGAAGCAGGAGGAGGTGCGGGAAAGGGAGCGGGAAAGGGAGCGGGAGAAGGAGCGGGAGGAGAAGGGGGACGAGGAGCGGGAGGAGGAGGAGGAGCGCGAGGAGGAGCGGGAGGAGAAGCAGGAGAACGAGTGCGAGGAGGAGCAGGACAAGGGGCGGTGGGAAACGGGGAGGGGGAATTAACGAACGCGCCGGATGGATTGGAAAAGCGGAAGGAGGGAAGGGAGGAGAGGGGTGGGGTCGAGGAAGGGTGGACGCGGACGCTCTCTCTCTCTCTCTCTCTCTCTCTCTCTCTCTCTCTCTCTCTCTCTCTCTCTCTCTCACACACACACACACACACACACACACACCTGTCGGCAGGTGTGGAGTCGGGGCGATGCGGGTGGGAGGAAGTGGAGGGAGAAGAGAGGAGCGGGGACGACTGAGAGGGCGGAAGGCCGGCGAGTTCTCCCGCCTCCCGCTTCCTCTGCTCCTCCTCCACCGCGTTCTCCTTGCCCTCTCCCCCCTCCCTCCCCCCTCCCTTCCCCCTGCAGCGTCGCTGCGGCGGGTTCCCTTGTTCATAGTAATGGACGCTTCTGGCCACTCCCTGTGGGAACATGCAGTCATACTTTTCTCGTTTCAACAGTGGTGTGGCAAGGCCCCAAGTGCTGGAGAAATCTGGCCATGCAGTCACTTTCAGAGAATTTTCATTTTTGTGCTCTTAATTTTCAGGTATGGTGATAACGGCGGGGGGGAATTGGACATGGTTGGTGGTACTTGGTACCATGGTTCATATATATTTTCACACTGTAAAGG